ATATATGATTTTTAGAAAAAAAAACTATACTTAATAAAATATTAGATATATAGCGTCAAATAAATAAACTAAAAAATTTTAATATTAGATATAAAAGTACATGGAAATTCATTGGTATGTATGTAAATCCACCAGATTAATATTTTCATGAACAGTCAGTCTATGCTTATGAAACTGAAGATAACACATTAAGCACAAAAAAATCTCTCCAGGAAGTCTGAATATTATAAGTCTGTCAAATGCACTTTTTCCCTTTCAAGAAGGGGACTGACTATACAATTATAGGTATCCTCATCAGGCATTACGCCTCTAAGCACAAGAAAATCATGTAATTCAACAACTTCATTAGTACTACAATTCCTACTGAACAAAGTAATAAGAATTGTATAAGTTATCTGATCAGGAAGAATACCTCTGTCGAGCATTTCCATCAAGAAATCCTTTGCTAGCTCAATAAATCCAGATTTACAGAGAAAGTTCATAAGCGTATTGTAAGTGGACTCAGTTTCCATAATTCCAAGCCTCCTCATTTGAAAATACAAACAAAATGCCCCATCAAAATTTTCCTTTCTGCAATACGAATTGATCAAGGTGTTATAAGTAAAAACATCAGCATCCAGACCAGCTCTTATCATCTCCTCCATAACAAACCTGGCTACATCAATAGAGTCTTCTCTGCACAATCCATTAATTATAGTGTTATAAGTAACTAAATTTGGCTTTTGGTCATATTTAACCATTCCTTCATATATTTGCAGGGCATCATCCACTCCACACTCTCTGCAGCATCCATCAATCAATGTGGTGTAAGTTATGGAATCAGGAAAAAAGCCACTAGTAATCATATTTGCTATGAGTATTTTTGCATCTTTAATCTTCCCATGCTTACAGAGATAGTTAATGAGAATATTATGGGAGACAACATCTCTAATTAGAGCTTCATCTCTCATCATTTGATGGCATTGAAAAGCTTCCTTCACAAACCCATTTCTCAGACAACCTTCAACAAGGATTGAGTATGTGATGTGGTCAGGAAAGGCTCGAGCATCTATCATGGAGGACAATAAACACCAGGCATATTCCACATATCCCTGCTTCAGAAAACAATTAATGAGAGAATTATAAACAGTAGAATTGGGACAAAATCCCATATCCAGCATTTCATTAAACAGCCTCAGCGCCTCATCCATCTTCCATTGCTTCGAAAAACCATCCACCAAAGTAGCATAAGTCCTCAAATTGGGCTTAATCCCCCATTTCCTCATGTCTTCTCTTAAAACTCTTTCACCCACCGCTGCATCTCCAGCCTTACACAATCCATTAATAAGGCTATTATAAGTGACGCAGTTCGGTTCAATCCAACTCCCAAAGATTACTGAAAAGTTCTTAATAAGCTCAAAAGCAAGAACAATATCTCCTTCCCTGCAGCATCCATCAACAATCATGTTTAAAGTGACAACATTTGGTGCAATGCCTCTCTTAATCATTCGAGAAAAAATTGAAAATGCCTCCAACAATCTGAATTCCCTGCATAATGCAAGAATAGACAAATTATAGGTGTTGATGTTCTCAACATACCCAAAATTCAGCATTTCATCACACAACATCCAAAACTCATTAGCTTCTTGTCTCAGCATCAGAACACAATTAAGGAAATTATTCCAAGCATGAATTGAAACCATGATTCCCTTACCCCTCAGTGTTTTGATAACCAAATGAGCATTTTTGCTATCCTCGAGCTGAGTGCAGGCTCGAACCAATGCATCATAAGCTGCAAAATTGCACCAAGTCTTTATATAGACATGTCCTAGAGAATCCAGAAGAATCAATGGAGCAATACCACCTTGATGTATCAGCTTCTTCATTAGGTTGAGACTTTCATCAAACATTTTGGCCCCAATGAGAACATGGATGAGCACACAGTTAATGTCCAAGGATAAAGGAGAGAGCTTTCTTTGTTTTCTAATTTTCTCGGACAAATGGAAGAAATACAAAGCTTGTCGAGGGGATTGGTGGCAATGGAGAATAACCCTACAAATTATGTTGTCGGTGATTGCTGGAAAAAGTTGCTCCAGGTTATGCCATCTACAGCGGTGGAGGTTGAAGATGGTTGCTTCTAAGATGACTTCTTCTGAGAAGTTAGATGAAGGTGGTGGTGGCAGAAGAGATTGGCTATGGAGAAAAGAACATAAGCCTTTTCGAAGAAGAAATTGAAAACTTTTGTTTCTCAGAAAGAACAGAGGTGAAATTGATGACAAAATGGCATGGAGCATCTAAAAAGGAGAATATCAAAAAACGGTTGGAATTTTGAAAAAAAGCCACCTGATAAAAAATGATCTGGTAATATTTAGTGGACTAATGTATCCAACTCTGCAACAAAATATAGTGTCATTAGTTGGCAAGAAAAACTTAAATTCTCTTTGGATGCAATGAATTTGAGTGAAAAAAAAAGAGAAAAAATGTTTAAAAAGCTTAAATTATTGGCAATAAATCAATAGTCAACCTATAAATTATTGGGATTTCATTTCATTTCCAATTTCAATCAAACTAAACAAATCCTAAGGATTCACCAACTCTTCACAAAGAGAAAAGAGACTTTTACAGCTGATAAAAAGTTTTCCTTTCGTTTCTTAAGCCAAAAAATCAGATCACGGTCAGCCACAAGCACATGCATGTTAATTAATTCTCTTACATATGGTATATGGTCAAGTAAGATGCATCATATTCAAATTTTGCGGTATTAAATTGGATCTAAATCTACAATGGTGGGAATAAATTGTAACACTGCAAATTTTGAAGATTCTTAATTTGGTGGTCGAATACGGCTTTAAGAATAATGCATATTTTTAGGATGTGTTTGTTTTGGTTGTAGCTATATGAACTCTCAATTCAAAACTTGTTGTGGAAAATCTGAAGTTTAAAAGATGGTGTTCTAGAAGCAGTTATACTGTCTGAAAAATTCAATTTGAAAAATGTTGTCTGTGAATAAATGTCTGAAACCCTTTGCTCATATTTAATTGTATTATATTAAACAAACAGAAACACAAAAATAAAGTCAAATTAAAATTGTAGAACCAACAATTAGAAGGGAAAATAAGAATGAGAAAAATATCATTAAGGATAAAGTCATTTAACCATCCAATGAACCTGTGCGACCTGGTTTATAGAAGAACCTACTTATTTGTACCTAAATGATAACATATAAGAGAATACAGGTTGTGTCCACTATAGTATGCAATGACTAACTGATAACCACAATAATCTCACAACCAAATGATCATCTTGCCCAATCCATGCAGATGATCAAACTAGTTTCCACTGAGATTTAAAACAAAAATTCATCCAAACCTTATTGTAGATTCCTCAATATAAAACATCACCCATATTCTAAGCTTCTTGTTAACATCCGAGAAGAAAAAAATTACCATCGGATTCAAAATCTTAAAAAAAAAAATTGTGAAACATAGAGGGAGCCGCACCTCACTCACCCACGCCTAACTGGCACAGGCGCACTAGCTCTGGGAGCGAAGGAGTCGGTCCCGGGTGCAAGGGCGCCCAAAAAATAGCACAAAAGGACCATTAACCCAGCCAGCGGGTGCCCAACATGGACATAGAGTGGGGGTGCTGTAGTAAGCGAGGCGGTTGTGCTGCATCCAAAAGCACAAGAGGAATGCAGAATGAGGGACACTAGCCATGGTCTCGATATTAGGAACATTTATACTGCGGTTTTAACCGCAATCCACCAAACCCGTGATCCACCGACGAGGTTCAGAACTCTAGCCGAAAAGCCAAAACAAACGCTCTCTTAGTGCTCATCTATCATCTCCAACAGTAAGTGAAAATGGATGAAACAAAAGTGCGTGGAAAATAATACAAATGATGCATTCTTCAACCTCTGCCCAGACTCCAAACTGCTTTACAAAATGTAATAATTATTCAATTCAGTATCAAGCAGCACAAACCTCTAATAACAACATTTTCTATCAGGTATTTTAACCCACCAATACGAAAAATGTTAGGAAACGTCGAGAGGTCTGTGTTTCAAGCATAGAGTATAGAAAAACTAGAAAAAGGGATAAAATAATTTCAAGCGTTCAGTCAACCGAATCTACAAATGTAATGAATATATTGCACTTCTAAATTAACTACTTCTCTATACAAAATGGCAGAACGAAAAGCATTGCTCAAAGTAAGCAGGCAGAAAACCTTAGCAATAAACTATACCCAGCACTGGAAGCATTAAAATCAAAGACTTAATGATTACTAAACATGAACTCAATCATACGAATTGTTCAAAAATAATTGCCAACACCAAGGAAATTATGCCTTACGCATAGCCGAAGCTCATACAGAAATGGCACAAAAATGCTGAGGAAGAAATTGCATAACCAAAGGCATGATAGCAAAGAATAAAAAACAACGAATACTATCTGCAACAAAAAGAAGAGTGGAAAAATAATGAACCTTTGCTGTTGCGCGATTCAACAAGACTAATCGCACGAAACAAGGCGCATTGCAGAT